TTTAAAAATATAATAAGAGATATTATCAAATTATGCAAATTCTATAGTGAATATGGTGACTTATAGAGATGCTGGTAAATTTCCGTTGCCAGTTTGACAGGATATGGAGTGTGGGTGAGGCGCTGTGTAGACTAGGTGGCCGTGGAGTGTCCTAGTTCCACGCGTGCCTGGGACGGATTTTCGAGGACAGCACTGTTGCCACGTGGACCCTCACCTGAGTGCCTGGGCTGCCATTGAGCTCCACTGTCCAGCCTCTGCTTCTTTACTAAAGATGCAACATGGCCCTTTCTGGAGTTCATGCTGCTGTTAAAAGCCCACCACCCTCTCATCACAGCCAGAGAAAAGAAGCTGAAATAGCAATTTTGGTAACACCAGCTATATGACCAGTGTTGTCCAAATGCCAACAAAAACTTCCGTTGACTAACATTCTTTGTCTTTATTTGGCACCCTAGCCTTTTTCCTTATATTGAAAATAGATTATTTTTTTCATACAGTACATTCTGATTACATTTCCCCCTCACTCTGCTTCTCCAAGTCCCTCCTCATCTCCCTATTCTTCTAATTCCACTCCTTCTCCATCTCTTACTAGAAATGAACAGGCTTCTAAGAGATAAAAACCAAACACAACAATAAAATATAATAGAATAAAGCAAAAACAAACAAAAAAACAAGACATCACCCTGAGGCTGCACAGAGCAACTCAGCAGAAGGAAAGGAGCCCAAGAACAGGCACAAGAGTCCAAGACCCCATTCTTTCTTACAGTTGGGAGTCGCATAGAAATACTAAGCTGAAGGCTGTGATGTATGTGCAGAGGGCCTGGTGCAGACTCATGTGGGTCCTGTGAGCCTCGTGTGAGTTTGTATGGCCAGCAGTGTTTGGTCTCAGTGTAGGTCCCTAGGCTGTCTATTCCCTGGTTCTTGGTTACTTGGCCCCCATGCAGGGTCAGGTGTGTGTTCCCTCTTGTGCAGAGGGCCTTGAGTCAAATCAGACACTGCTGGCCATCCCACAGTGCCCCCGTGTCCTAGCCTCCTACCTGGTTCACTTTCGTGTTGCCTGAGGTTGCACTAGCGTCCAGCTCCCGTCTCATGGACTGTTGTTCCTTCTCCAGTCCAGACACCTTCGTTCATCAGGATTTGCAAAGTGGAGAACAATATAAAACCTTTTTGATGACTTCCTTCTCATGTTTTCAAAAATCTTAGAACTATTAACACATCGGGATGAGTTCATGGCATCTCTCCCCTCATCTTGGTGGTGGAGCAGGAAGGTAGCTGAGTGATAGCATGAACCCTGGGGAGGACTTGAAACTCAGCTTCAGAACTTCTCGTTTGAAACAAACAAAATTCCTCCAGACACCATAATATGCCAAAAGGTGTGTCATGACTTTAAATGCTTACTCACAATTACAATCATTTTATTGTAACTCATCCTCACCCACATTTATAGGAAGCAAATTCAGATGTTTTAAATTATTTTCAAATTCATTGTCTGTTTAACAAATAGATTTGAATGCCAAAGAAGTGTTTGGGAGGGGATGAGAAATAGCGAAAAGGAGCTATGATGAATTAGTGCCACACTGATATAATAAGTATTTCACAGGAAAAGTGTGTCAAGCGTGGACATGATAAGACGGGTAACTGGGGAGCCTGAGCCTCACAGAAAGAGGTAGGAGCTCTGAGAACAGTGGCGGAAGAATCAGCTACAATTCTGCCTTTTATGTTTTATCTTTTTAAAGATTAATGTCCTAAAATTTATTATGGTCATATTGTGCCTTGCAGTATTGGAAAGGCAGTTAACGGAACTAGGGGGCGGGGGAGGTCACTCAGCATTTGAAGAAGCAGACTCCTCTTTATCCACATACACATCTGATGGAGTCAGTGTAGAAAGCTGTCAAATTTCGGTTTGAATTTTCATATCAATTTTTAATTTATGATGTATTTTACAGCAGCTATCCAATACTAAAGGAATTATTTTGGACAAAGCAATGATCCATAGACCATCTCTTTAATTTTTAAATGTTCTTATCAGCAACAGTTGTGGCAACATGATTATCCTCTACTGTGATGGGTTCGGTTTGTTTTGTGGTTTTTATTGTCCCACACTGAATAACTGGCAGTATCAGGGTCACGTATAAAGCAGACACATCTGTTGTGTGTATTCCCATAGCTGTACAAACTCTAAACTACCACACAAAACCAGGGTCACACATAATAAATTTTGAAACATCTTAAGAAAGTATTTTATATTTTCTCTTGGTTTTCTGGTTGTGTTTTTATTCATTCTTAGTCACAAATGGCAGAGAGCTGTTCCAAGTCTAGTCCAATAATGACATTTCCAACTGTCTCATAATGCAACATTTGGTGAAAGGCAGACTAGAGGAGCCAAATGTGCCACCAGTGCTGAGGAAAATGGGGCTGCAGTAATTAGTGTACCATCTTCAAATATGAAATTAGTGCTTCAAGTTCAGCACATTGATTGCACCCATCAACTGTCTCCAAGCACTCCCGGCCAGCCAGGCTCTGCTGAGCTGTCTGTGGGCTTCCTCTTCTGTCCCATCCTCACAACCTGAAGATGTTAGTCATCCTCATAGTAAGCAAAGGGAGGACAGGTTGTTTGAAAGGCTAACCAGTCTGGTCCTGGTCCAGTAGAGCATGAGCAGAGAGGCTGGGGTTGAGGCAGCCCATCATCCATGCTATAGAAAAGGGAAAAATTAGTCAGACCTAGCTCCTACTGTTGGTTTCAAATAGCTCTCACTGGAGAGAGCAGCTCGCAAATGGCCTGCTGGTGTCAGAGGCTGGGCTGCACGTCAGTCCTTGGACTCGCTCGTTCACAGCTTAAGTCGTCAGTGTAGTTGGTGTGTCTTCTTCATGGTGGGAAGATTCAGGAAGTAAGGCATCCGGGCATTGATTGGCAAGGACAGTTATTAAGGATAAAGTTTAGATCTAGAAATCAGTGGGAAAGATGGCTGCAGTGTCTTCTACTGCATGGCTTTACCCCATAGCAGAAAGTGTCATGAGAAAGCAGCTCTCTCTCCTCTGTATTAGCCGGAGCCTTGCCATGTCAGTGTAGTCCCTCACCAAGACGTTCAGCCCCACGCCACGGCAGGATAAACGCTCTCAGTGCTTTAAAAGAAATGACTCTGAAAGCTCAGACAACAGATCCAAGTCTTTAAAATGTTTCGCATCTTAGAAATACAATATTCAAAATTGAACAAATATCAGCAACAGATCTTTCCATGTTTGTGAATATCGGTGTCACCATGATACAGTCCACTTAAAGTGGCCAGAGATGGTGCACTCTGGGCACTTCCCCATGGCATCACAGTTTGTGGCAATGAATATTCATTTGCTGTATTTTGTAGACCCTTTGTTTAAGAGATCAGCAAAGACAGGTGAGGAAACAGGCCACTCATTGTTAAAATCTCTGTCCTAGAGGTGCCATTTATAAGCCAAGGGAGAGAGAGGAACGGAGGACATTATTACTCATAAATCCTCGAATGTTCTGTTCGCACATAAACTTGAATTTCCGTTTTCTCAAATTTTCTTGTGTGTTGCTGTTGAAAAAGTGGATCTCACAGCAGTATTCTTGGGGCACATGCACACAGCGGCATCCTTGATGCTCTGCCACAAACTTCTAAGTACATGCGGCCTCTGCCTTTGTGTGGCCTACTTAGAAACGGTAGTGCGTTCTGCGCCAGTGCCTCGCCACTCCAGAGAGGTGCAAACCGGGTTCTATTTGTTTGCTGCCATGTTTAATACACAATGGTGAAACTTTATTCAAGTAAGTGATTTCTGATTTCTGCACCTTTATTTATTATAAATTTATTATGTAAACAAAAACGTAAGTTAAGAAGTTAGACTCTTATTAATAGTTTCTTTGTTCCACATACTATTATCAGGTAGTTTGTCTCTTAATAAGATAGCAAAGCCTTAAATTCTGTTCGTGAGCCTCTTCGTGTATGCTACCACACCAATGCTGGATAATGAATTCCTTTCCTCATTGTGTTCCTTTCCTCATTTGCAAAGGGAATTTATGAATGATGCATCACAGGGCTTCAGCCATTTACAGAGACCGGTAGTTAACGTTTTCAACTAAAGCCTGAGAATCTTAAAGATCTCCATAAATAATGAAGCCATTCATTGTGCTCAAGGATTCTGCCTTCTTCAGTGATATGATTTTCTTCTCATTTGAAAGAGTAGTTAATTGCATTGCCAGTCCTCTTTAATATTTAATAATAATTTTATTAGCTGTATAGGATGAGGGGGAACAGGATCTGTGGTATCTAGTGCTGGTCATCAATTTTTTTTTTATCATGACTTAATGAATATTGTAATTACAAGGAAAGGCAGGAATATAAATCAGCTTAGTAGCTGGTTGGGACCTGCCAGCTTAGTGGTTTCAGCTGGCAAACCCAGACTAGGCACAAAGTCAGGGTGGAGCTGGGGAGGCCCTTGCGCAGCCCTCCTGCACCTTGCCAGTTGTCCCTCACTTAATGCTGGCACCGGCCCTGGGGAATCTGGAAAGCCACAGCTCCTGCTGGTTCCTTGGCAGCCGACAGGACCTTCACAACATACAGAACTTAGTCTTGGCTCATGTGTGTTCCTTGATCCCTTTTGATGTATTTTGGAATTTTTTTATTTCCTTAAACCTTTTTAAGATACTTTCCTTTCTGCTATGACAAATAAATGCCTATGTTATTGCCTTGCTCTGGCCACCGTCATGGTAGCCCTGAGCTTTACCAAGTGCTCCTGAGAACGTTTTAATAGGCCTGTGGCCGGAGGTCTGAAGAAAGCTTGTGTCTAGAACCGCACGTTTTGTGCCTCTGGAGGTCAAACCAGGGCTCGAGGAGAAGTTGATTTCTGCCGTTAGCTTTCTAGGTGTATGTGCATATGAAAGGGTTGCTGGGCTGTTGCCGTCACTTGTTTAGGAGTGAAACCAGGTATTGATATGTTTACTGTGCTTCTAAGCCGATTCTAAAGCAGAGCATTTCTGTCCCCCACAGCAACTGCTTCGAGAACGCCAGCAGATGGCCAGCCGGCCCTTCGCTTCTGTTGACGTGGCGCTGGAGGTGGGAGCCAAGCAGACGGACCTTCTTCGAGGGCCACTAGAGGTAGGACGCGGTGCTGGGGCCCGCGCTACTCGAGTATCTGTGTCACCTCTCTCATGTGCTTCTGCTGGACTGTTTGGAGTTCCAGGGCCCAGCCAACATGTGATGGCATTTCCAAGGCACACAGCCTTAACGTTATGCCATGAGCTGTAACAAATGTCGCTGGAGAGTCTGTGAGCCCAGACAGGAGTGCCAGGCTGCTCAGCTGGCAGCCGCCGCCTGGCAGAGAGGAGCTGAAGGACTCTAAGGTGTGGTTGTGATTAAAGAATCAGATGCCATTTTTCGTCCCCAGAGCCTCCCTGGCCCCCGCCTAACAGGTCACACCCATCTTTTTAGTCACCTTTTACTGCTCAAGGTGTGTGGGGAGGCGCTGCTCTGTAATCACACTGTTCAGCTTTCACACTTGCGCGTGAAATATACCAGACAGTCTCTTTGTGGGGCCAGATGGTTAGCTCTGCTCTGTGGCACGTGAAGGAAGCAGAGCAACACAAGAGAAAGCGCTGTGTGCAGTTGAGTGTCCTGTGGGAATCCACGGTAAAGTGAGATCCACCTCGAGAAGGGAAACTCTGGCCGCGAGGACGGTGACCGTCCGTGGCTTTGAGGCCTTCTTATTCAGCTGTGGCCTTATCCCTTTGCTCAGTGTGTGTGATTGGAGCATGAGAAACTCCAAACAGACGTTACTTTAGCTTCGTTTTTAGAAATGTCAGTGTGTAACCAAGTGTGTTATCACCGGATCTCCCCCTCCCAGGAAAGCAAGGAAGGCGTGCAAAAATAGACTCACCCTGAGACCTCGGTACGAATAGGTTTGATTTTTGTTCGGAGAATTTTTGTTATTGTGAAAACCCGAAGTATGCCTCATGAATAAAATAGAAAATGCTAGGACTGAAGTGTGTGTGTGAGAGAGAGAAAGAGACAGACAGACAGACGGACATCTGTGCTGCTTCTGGGTACTTAACATTTTCCCTGCTCTAGGTCACAGTTGCTATTAGATTAGAGCATTAGGAAATGTGAGTGCGTGTCTTCCAGGGCATGGAGAGGAGTTAGAAAGCAGGATTATAAATGAAATGTATAGCAAATGCTCAGCTTCATTTTAGTCCTTTGTTTCGAATTCATTCTGGTTTTTTTTTGTTTTGTTTTGTTTTGTTTTTAATAAGCAGAAAATGTAGACTAGTTCAGTCTAAATCTCTGTTCTCCCCAGTGTTATGTGTTCAAGTCATGGGAGGAGTAAGTGTAGATACGTGTAAGCGGTTGTGCGGAGGGGCCTGGAGCAGCGAGCGCGGGGCCAGCAGCGGTGGCATGTGCATGCTCTGAGGGGTCATGTCAGGCCGTGACGGTGCTCAGGGTTCTCCCGCCAGGTGCACGCGGGCTGATCACCTCATCCCCCGGGAGTTTTCCTCCAAAGTTTTCCTTTTCTCCACATTTTGATTTTCCTTTAAGTCTGCACTTTGTGTTTTAGACTGTGAAAAGAGTCTGTCTTTCCGTCACCTGTTCACCCGCGGCTGTGTTCTCAGCTGGGGCTCTCCTGCGAGGCCTCCACAGCCCGCTTCTTCCTTCTGCATCCCTGTCTCACTCCTGTTCTTGGTGCAACATGCTACTTGCTTTCTGTCCTAAAACTGTGTCTCCTCAGGTGTTCACACTGAAAACAAACAAACAAACAGGCCGTTGTCCCCAGGGCTGGCCCAGCGTGTGTGCGGAGCTGTGCACAGAGAGAAACCGTTAGCGTTTAAGCTTCACTTCCTCGCCTCTGAGTTCTGCATTGCCCTTCCCCATTTCTCACAGTGCCCCGCACTTACCGATGACCACAGAGGTGCATGTTCCCCTCGCACTTACACACCTACTAGCACGTCTTCCCCTAAGCTCATCTCAAGCAAAATTAGCACACTAGTTTCTGCAGCACCCGCTTCTGCACAGGTGTTACACTCAGCACAGGCTGAGACAGGCATGTGAGTGAGTTTCTTATCATGGCATTGAACAATAGCAAACAGAGTTTACTCTGTGTCCTCGGAAACTCACATGCACGCGAGTTTCTGTGCTTGCTGAGTCAGCAGTTGCGGTGCACAGCCGTAAATGCCCAGGACTTCCTTGGCCAGTGGGAAAGACTCTTCCTGTGTATCGCTTTCTGTTGAAAATCATTGAGTGTAAATGGAGCTTTCTGGCCCAGTCCCCCGATGTGTGCCTGCCTCTGTGGCCACGCACACTGTCTCAGTTATTGTAGCTCTGCAGTGTGTTTGTTGTCAAAAAGGGAAGTCCTCCAGCATGCCCACTGAGACTCTACCTTGGCTCTTCTTGCCCTTGAAATCCCATGTAAATTTTAGGATCAGGTTTCCGCTTTCTGCTGAGAAACATTGTAGCTCAGTGGATATTTTTAGAGCTTTAATTGCTTGTTTGCTCTTCCTGTGAAAAGTCAACATCCGATTTTGTCTCAGCATCTCAGGGCTAATTTCTTCCCTTGATATCTTCAGAAAATAAGAGGCAGAAGTAGAGTTTTGAAAAATATATTTTATTTCCTGTTTGCTCTGTACTTTATAATAAGTGCTACTAATTAGAAGTTCCTAACTGTGGTTTATTTATCATTATTGCAGAATACTGATTGCTGTTTCAATCCCTTTAAAAATATATACATATACATACATACACGTATGCATATATATGTAGATACATAGAGATATAGATAGCTATATAAATCTATAGCTAGATAGATATAGATAGATAGATCTATGTATGTATATCATAATTATATATACATATGTATATATATGTATATATGTATGCATATAGTATATCGTTTTGAAACCTGGGGTCATTCTGGAATCACATTAAATGTTTTGTATAAATCTGAAAGTCAAAATACTTTAAACTTCTTATCAGTTTTTCTTAAAGTTCAGTGTTAAAATCGAACACAGTGCCACAGGTCAGCTGGCTGTTAGTGTCATACAGAAATTATTCACTCTTCATAATGTGGTTCTGAACAATTGATTTATCTTAAGTGTGACTCCTATGTGCATTCTTGAGAGTCACACCTATGGTCACGTGAAAATGTAAGGTAGAGTAGGAGATGGTTATCTTTTACTACCTGCTGTCTGTGGGTAAGTGTGTACTGCCGCTCACCACGGCTCTGGGTAAGTGTGTGTGTACTGCCGCTCACCAGTTTTTTAGTTCTGTGGTGCACATGAGCTCACACATTTTATTAGTTATTTGAATACTGAATCTTTAATGGACTTTAACAGTGCAAAACCCTTGTGATTAAAAGACAAAATATATTCTATAAATAACCAAACTAAATTAATGACTAGTAAATTTGGATCGTAGATTTATGTATCAGGAAGATGAACACCTATCATTCAGATCTAATGAACGCATCTAGAATGTGAATTCACCTATCGACACAATCTGTTAGCTGATCCCACAGACAGTGGATTGTTTTCTGGTAGCTGTCTGATATACAGCATGTGTTTGTTACCTTTCTTCCATGTGTTAGCAAGTAATTGTGACTTGAGATATTTTAAAAATTCTCCTTCTTTGTATATCCAATGATGTCAGTGAAATGATGCCATAGGGCTTCTTTAAGTGAATCCAGTTTGGGAAAGCTGCTGTTCAGTAGATCCCCTAGTGAGCTGGGTCTGGGCAGCTCAACCCTTCCTGTGACCTTCTTTAGAAAACAAATGTTTATACTGATTTTATGGGGGGGTTGTGGAATGCTTCATCTGTGTCCAGCACTGTGCACATCGGGAACCACAAGGAACTGTGCCCATGAGCCCATGTTCTAGGAGGAAATGTGGCCGCAGGTGCTGCATACAGTGCTGAGGGAAAAAGCAGGACGCAGCAGGAGGAAGCAGGATGCAGCAGGAGGAAGCAGGATGCAGCAGGAGGAAGCAGGAGGAAGCAGGA